GAAGAAGAAGAAGAAGAAGAAGAAGAAGAAGAAGAAGAAGAAGAAGAGGAAGAAGAGTTGCATATAGCTTCATTAGTAGAGTATATGAAGTTCTGGGTTCAATACACATGGTTCATTAGCTGTTAGTAAACACTAAAGAGAAAATTAATAGCAGGGAGTAGGGACAGGAAATGAAGAGCTGCAAATTCAGCAAGGAGGCAGGCCTCTTAATGACAGTGACATTGAGTTCTGACCAAGAGTAGGTGGGAAGATAGCCAGTAGACCTCCTGGAGGAGCCAAAGAAACAGCAAGAGCAAAAGGCCTGTGGGGACGTGCTCAAGGGCAGTACTGAAAGGAAAGGAACAAGAGCAGAAGGGGGGGAGGGGTAAAGGGAAAGGGTGTGGAATGAGGGTCTCATGGGATCTTGCCAGAAAATTAGAGGACCCAGAAGACACCATTTATAGGGATTTGGCACTGACCACACCTGCACCAGGTTAAGCTTGGCAGAACAGCTCTCTGCACCTGAGGTGTTGCCAGAACATTGCCAGTCACCTGTGAGGCACCTTAGCTGGGGAAAATGGAGCAACAGCTGGGTACTACACATAGCTCCACCCACAGCAAGGGAGGACGGGGGATCTTTGGGTTGCAGAGAGTGAAAACTGAAGTTCCTGACTGATTAGGGACAATACCAAGAAATCAGTGTTATTTCTGCTACCTGGTATAAGTTTTTAAAGTAAGACTAGTCTCAAAATGGAGGAGTAGGTCAGGGATCTAGCTTACCTGGTAGATACACACAGAAATATAATAATTGCAAGATATAATCATGCAACATCCACATGACAACAGAATAAAACGAATGAAATGGGGCTGGTGAGATGGCTCTGAAAGGAAAGACACCAGCAAACATGATCCTCAGGACTCACATGGTGGAGAGAACTGACTCCTGTAAGTTTTCTTCTGACTGCTACATGAGTGCTGTACAAGTATATACATGGTCATTCATGACCCTCACCCCCAAAATAAATAATGTTTTAAAGAATGAGATAGATGTGAACATGCTACATGGAAATACTCCACAATGAACAATGGAAAGTTGCAAGCTGTATCATATAATACTGCAAGCATAAATATTTATGTATAAACAAATACACGCTTTCCCCCAGAAGAAAATATAATTGAACAGAGGTCATCATTAGTATGATGGGGCTTCCACTGACAAAGGCTTCATATAGCTCAGAGTTGCTGGTAATTCTGAAACTCATGTGAGTAAAACCAGTTACACAATTTTGAACCAAATTTGAAGCAAGCTTTAAGTATTGACCAGAAAAATGGGACTCTGGTCAGATCCACATCTGGTTCCCAGTGAGTGGCTAGGAGACAAATGTAGGGGTGTTTTAAAGACAAAACCATAAGGCTACTGTATTTCCCGTTTTATTCCTCCAAGAACTGTAACTCCCAATATTCCAGGAATTACCTGGATCTTGTTGACTTTGACTCTTAGACAGCACACAATTTGAATCCACCTGCCTCAGTTTCTGAGTACTAGGACTGATTACATGCCTGCACTTTTCACCAGATTTGAGGGGGCTTTTCTCAGAGATGGGGAGTTGGTATGAGACTGCCATAAATCATCTTCAGTCTTCCTAAAAATGTATCTCATATTTTTTTCCTCTTATTTGAGACACAGGGTCTCTATAGCTCAGGCTAGCCCTGAACTGCTATCCTAAAGTGATCCTCTACTTCAGCTGTAAAAGTAGTTGGAACTACAGGCACAAGTCACTATGTCATTGTACCCGCTTTGGCCATAATGAGTCCTTTATCACGTACATAGGTACCTGAAACAGTTACTGGCTGTAGAGTGTGGTGGTACAACACTTTGATATCAGCACTTTAAGGGCAGAAGCAGGCAATTGATTGAGTTCAAGGCAAGCCAAGGCTACCTATAAAAATAAAACACAAACCCTCTCAATCAAAACCAAACCCAAACTGGAGCTTTAATCCTAATCTCCCTCTAACATGTAAAATGGCACACCAGACTGCACCTGGGAAGATGATAATTCAGGTTGATCTCAAGACAAGTCTTTTGAGTGACAAGGTCTTGCCTTGGGATTATTGGAGGAGGTGCAGACACTTATTCTTTAGGCAGGTAGGGAGATGGCTCAATGGGTAAGAATGTTTACTCCTCAGCTGGGCAGTAGTGGCTCATCCCTTTAATCCCCGTGCTCAGGAGGCGAATCTCTGTGAATTCGAGACCAGCCAGGTCTACAAAAGTGAGTTCCAGGACAGGTAGGACTGTCACACAGAGAAACCTTGTCTCAAACAACAACAACAAAAAACCCTAAATAAAACAAAACAAAACAAAAAGAATGCTTACTGCTCAAGTATGAGGACCTGAGTTAGGGTTCCCAGAACCCATGTGAAAAACTGAGCACAGACATGTGTGCCTGCAATCCCTTGCTGTGGTTGCAAGAGACAGGAATCACAGCTTGCTGGCCAGCCAGTCTAGCTGACATTAAGTTCTAGATTCAGTGAAGCCCTTCCCTGGCTTCAAAAAGTCTGAGCATAGGTGGCTGTTTCAGCATATGTACATGCCCACACACCACACATATATACCATTCCCCATTCTCTCAAGAAGAGAAACTATGTGTGTTACTAATTCTGGAAACAAACATCATGTTTAGCATTCAAATATCCCTTCTAAACTGATCATTCATTAGTGACTACATCATTGATAATGGAGTCCAACAATAATTTCCAACACAATAAACGTGAAACCAAGTCATTAGATTACTAAAGCACACCTTTATTTTTCAATTGAACATTAACAGCTAGAGGTGTTTTTCACATTTGTATCTGAACAACTACTCAATCAAAATGAAATATGCCCAACAAAATATGTGGAATAGCATTTCACATAACATAAATTGATGTTAGGATTAAAACAGTTTCAATGCAAAACAACATTTTTATCCTGTTCACTGTTGGTTTGTGTAGATTGTTTAAAAACATAAAGGCAGAATTCTAATTTTCACTGAAATTAAGATAAACACACAAGGTCTTTGAAACACATGGTAAACCGCAGTAAACAAATGCACAGTGATCATTTCAAAAAACCCAGTGTTGATCAAATTCATTTAAGTTTCTGATTCTTAAATGCATTTAAGTTTTGATTCTTAGCCTCTTTGCTTCTTGATCATGAGACCACACCATACGGAGATATTCTTGTACAACTAGGAGAAAAGGTACTTTATAACATTAAGGGACTAATTCCATTCTGCTATTCGTTCAGCACAAAACAAATGGAAACAAATGAAAAATATTTTAATAAGGAAATAAAGTAGACTTTTAACCAAGCAAACTTCTCACTCCATTTTACATATAGCACCTATTACAAGGAAAGAAAGTTCCCAAATCAAAATACCCTCTACATAGAAATAATTTTAAAACTACAGTTTAGAAATAGTACTGATAAGTGTGAACTATCAGTCCTAAAGTTAAACATACACTGTAGAAAACAAGGACTAGCTTTTCTTATCTGAAAAGATTACAGCATAGTTCATAAGTGGTATGTTCTGATGCTGAAGAACACTGGGGTAGACAACTTTTATTTTTTTTACAGCAGATATACTGTTTTGGCAGAATATGAAAACAGCTTAATATAAACTGTACAGTATCATAAATTCTGCCCTTTGTCTTCTATATAAACTACATACTTGTGGTGCAGTATCTACTTAACATCTAGGTACTACATTGAGAACAAACAAATTTCCAAGTATTCATGTGATGTTCACAAAATGCAGAGCAGAAACAATTATAGTAAACCAAACTTCGCTAAAGCTAGCTGAGAGAACTGAGTCCAGCAACACAGTCAGCTAAGCAGCCTCTATTGTATTATACAAATTGCAGGAAAAAAAAATCACAGAGCTAATGTCACATATGTTACCTCTTAAATATCAAAGAAGCTATAAAGAGATCATTATAAAGCATTTAAACTTGGAGTCAATCTAATAAACTCTAATACTAACCAATTTTTTCTGTATTTACAAAACTCCTAGAATAGATATTTTTACTGTATAAATTAAGTCAGTAGTAAGCATAAAATAAAGTGCTATTTAAAATCAATTTTAGCACTTACATATTACCTACTCTACAGGATTCAGGAATGAGGAGTCTTGCTAACTCACTGAAAGATTGGGAAAGATGAATCCAGAAATATCACAAAGCTGGGTTGAAACATCCTTGCCCAGGAAGGCAAATAAATGGAATACTATAATTTAAGAATAGAAAACAAATATTTAAAAAAGGTAAAATAGGCCCAATTATGACAATTGTGGATGCTATGAAATATAGTAGATCTAGGGACACCACAAAGCAGCAACTATTTGAAGAAAGCTATTTCCTTGATGATCCCTGGCAGCAACTTTACTTAACAATGTGACTTATAAGTTACCAGAATTAGTAGTGCCAAATTTTATAACTCTGAGGTTGAGGAAATCTGACACTAACCTTGGATTACTTTTAGGTTATTCAGGGTACATCATGATGAGTTAAAAATCATTATGGAGGTTTAGAAAACATTAAAACAATGAATTCCCAATTTCATAAAGTTTAATAATTGATAATTACAAGATTTTAAAGGAGCTATTTAATGAATTAATTATGCCTACAGGCACTGGTTTAAAGTAAAGAGTTTTCACTTAGCTGAATAAACGTGTAAGCTGTATAAGCCACCACTGTTAGATGTCACAAGGGTTGGGCCCAGTGGTCTTACTATCCATGTCACTAAAGACAAACAGGGAAACTCATCATCAGGGTCAGAGGCCTCTGCACATAATTTCTGCAGTGGCTCTTAGGCATGGGTGTCTAGCTTCACATTCTTCACATTCTTACAATGATGCCCCCTTTGGTGGCTGCGACACTGACAAAACTTGGGAACTTTCCTCCATGGTAGACACATGCAGCAGCACACTTAGCCTAACACATATTCTTCCACACCCCACCAGTGTAGAATTAAAATACTTTACACTCAAAATAGTATATACAATTTTTAAGAAAAACTTCCAGAGCCAAAAACAAAGTAATATGGAATGAATGTACACTATGTGTGAAATATGCTTTGACAGTGACCATTCGCAACCAAATTCCATTTTTTCCAACACTGCGTTTTACCTAATGACTTATGACACTATTTTTACTCCTTTGCAGATTTCTCATTCTCTCTTTTTAAACAAACACATATACTTAGAACCAAGTAATAACTCTAATGTTTGAAAGATACATTCATTTTCTTTACAGCATGAAAGACATACAAACATCGTTTTATCCCTTTTAAACAATGAAATTAGAGTTAACAGTTTTAACCTTCTGTTCATAGAAAAATATTTTCTGTATATAATTTACATAATAATAGGAAAACTCTACAATGTTTACTTGAAACTTTTATGACCTTAGCAAGGTTTTCTTTTTCATCCTTATACTGGAAAGTTTGCAAGGCTCCAGGAAGTTAAACATTAGAACTCTTCCTTAACAGCGTAGTTTTTACCTTGCAATATTGCTAATAACCTTCTGCAAATAAAAAGTACTACTGGCTTATTTGATTATGTATGGAACCATACCTAGTTCATATAGATAAATTGCTGTCAAGCAGCTATGACTAATGACTGACCATTTAGCTTCGAAGGACTAAAAACTAAACAATGATTTTAGAAAAATAGTATACTGAAGCACAAAAACAGAAAATAAGCAGCAACACATTTATATATGAAAACAGAAAGTAACTTTACGGTATCTACTCAAAACAAATTTACTTAGGGGATGAAAATAAAGCAGTATGGGCTGGAACACATGAGTTGTTGTTTCTGTTAACATAGAGAAGTTTATTATAAGAACTGCTACTAAGAGAAAATGAAATCCATGAAAAATAAGAATTATGGTAAAAGCAGAACCCAAAACAAATAATTTTGGAACTGATTTCTTATACTCTTAAAATTGATGAAAATATCTATAAGTAATTAGCCCTCAAAAAGTTTTAATATTATGCAAATTTCTTTTATGTGTATAATAATTCTCTAAGAATTTCATAAAAGTCACTAGTTTGTGATCACACTGAGACACAAGTGAATATCTGTCAACTGATCAGTAATTCTAATATTTAATAAATTCAATCCACTGAATTATAATAACACAGCTGTTTTACTTGGAGGAAGCACCACAAATGGTTCCAGGAATGGCAGTTGGATGGTTGGTGCAAATGTGGGACATGAGCAATGTTAACACAAAGTACTTGCTTTGTGGATGCAGCACCCTGTATGAAAGCAGACTGTGGGATCTATTAGGTATGATTTGCTATATTACTGAGATGTTTATTCCAGCAAATATTTATCATCATATATTTACTATAAATGACTTAAATACAAATTCATCAGAACTACAAAGTAAGTACTATGAAGAGCCTGTAAACATATCCCACAATGTTGTGGTATAAACAACTTACATGAATTCAAAACTACTTTGGCAATTTTACCATCAGAATATTTTTAATATTCAAAACACAGACACTAGATAGCACATTGCTATAAATTCATGTTTCCTTCTCTCTTCCTGATAAGCCATACTTCAATTTTATCACATGTTCACATTATGAATATAAATTATTTTGTAAGTAGATATAAGTTCTAAATCTCAGTTCTATGTGCTAAGTGCTTTAAAACTGACTTTCTACTTGCAGGTCAGCTTGCCTATGTGTATCAGCCTAACTAGTTCACAACAGCTTAAGTTCATCTGTTAGGGAAGCACAACTAGCAAACTCGGCCCAATTCCTAATTGGCATCACTTTTGAAGTCTAATATCAAACTTCTAAGGTGTCAAAGATTCAAAGGGAAAACACTGACCGTGCTTCCCAGGAAGAAATAGATAAAATTTACATTTTATTGAACTTCTAGTCTAATACAGCAACACTAGATTGAGAATTAGAAAACGTGAAGTTGACCAGTTCTGTTAAATTAATTGCTGAGCCTCTAGTTCTTCCTATCATAAGGAAGTAGAAACTAGACACAAGTCTTTCAACTTCTTATAGCTTTCAAGTTGTAGTACCACTTCTAGTGATACAAGAGATTTTTTTGCTCAAATAACAAAGTAGATTTGATCAGACCTGCCAAGCGATATAAACAACCCATGGTTTAAAGTCCATTCCATCCGTGTACACGTCTTTGTGAAATACACATGCAAACAACGCACTGACATTTTTCTATGAAGGCATGTACAATAGTACCTAAAACCTTCAAGTAACTGTCTTAAAGGCTCAGCATAACTTTGTGCATTTTAGTCAGTTTTCATACAATGTTACCCTTATTCTTAGGTCAAAATGGCTAATCATTGCCCTTTCCCAACTACTTACCCCAGAAGGCTACACAAAAGTTTTTCTTGGGCTGTATTCTGCCTCATTTTTGAATGGATGGATTAGTTTAACAAGTACAACCTATTCTTTTTGTAAATGCTAGTCTCTTCCAAATTATTATTACAGAGTATCTAGGCAGTACAGATGAAAACCAGACACTCAATAAAACACTTTAAATAAGCACAGAAAAATCACCTGAACTCAGAGAGGGAAATTTTCACATTTACTTTTTAGCATGTACAAAAGCCCCCGACCCATCAATATTGATTTTCACTTGTCAGAATAAATGCATTCTTTCTTGAGTTTGTCAGTGTGTGGTAGTGAAATGGGAAAGTAGTTTAATTCAGGATTTTTTTTGTCACACAATATTACACCAGTATGTATGAAGTCTAGCACTACTTACGTATGAAAACTAGCATTATTTCTAGAAATCTATTTTGATTAGTAAACTGATTAAATGCTTAGGTATAAAGGACAGTGCTCTATGCTAGATAACTAAGGAAGTTTAATTAGCATATCCATATTAACAATTGGTGAAGGGTTATTTTAGCTTAAGATCCTAACAAATGTTCTAAAAGGGGTGTTTTCACATGTAAAATAATGATAAAGGACAGTTCTCAGATGAGAAATAAAAATTTAATTCTACACTTGTCACTTAACGGCAAACATCAATGACTTAAATGGCAGCAATGCTCATTGCCAACATCAGCGTTAACTACAGAGGTATGAACAAAGCTTTCCATTAAAGAGTGAGTGAATCATAACATTGTGAATCATGACATTGCCTTCTATTTTCTACACAAGTTTTCTCTTTTTGCCTATGGTTGTCACAGTCTATCCACATGGAAAGGACAGACATTTAAAATTTAGACTAAAATCCATCAATGAAATAAAGTAGCTCTATAATGTATAGATCTCCAAGTTGATTTCCCTTTTTAACTTGTAATGATATCCTATTAGCCTAAATTATATTTGCCTCTGGTAGAGAATGGAATGTTTGAGTGTAATGACTGACGAGCTCAAATTGTCTTGCATGTAAAATCAAAATAGGAGGACTTCTGTTTGACATAAAGATTATGTTTATGCCTCTTTAAAAAAATAAGACAAATAGTATTTCTAAGTGACAATGGTACCCTGGCCATTACTGTTTAGAAGCTTAACTTCTTTCTGAATTTTACTATTATGAATTCTGAATATGAGAAATGATAATTTAGATTTTATTAAAGATTCTTCAAAGTATGTCACCCCTCCAAACTAAATAGCAGTCCAAAATATTTATTGGAACCTATGTTTTACCAAGACTACAGAAATATTCTGAAACCACTAGCAAATGTGCCAACTTTAACTATATCCATATAAAATAACATTCAAATAGGTGAGCAAATTCTCATATTAAATTGGGCAATATTAAAGATCTATCTCCATAGATTTAAAAACAAATGAAGCTGACAAGGAAAATATACACATCTGTAATGAGAGTTGGATCTTCAGTCAAGATGGACAATCAAAAACCTCACTAAACATGCTTATAATTTAATAAGCATTTATAAATATAAACTAGATAATAAAACTGTATACCAAAATGACAAAACCTGCATTTTACTATTTTTTTGGTGGGGGTCACATTTAGAAGAAGTCAATAGTATTTAACTCTTTGTTTGAAGAATTCCAATAAAAAGACCAGTGTGGCCATGTGGTGGTGAGGCACACCTTTAATCCCAGCACTCAGGAGGCAGAGGGAGACAGATCTCTGTGAGTTCAAGGTCAACCTGGTTTATACAGCAAGTTCTACGACTGTTATAAAGAGAAACGCTGTCTTGAAAAACTAAAACCAAACCAAACAAAACCACAAAACAAAACCACAAAACCCAACAAAAACTAAAAAGAAAGACCAGTTTGAAGACAGCCTGATATGAACCAGAATGAGTACTGGAGGGTAACACTTCTGTTATAGACAGGAACAAACCCAAACTAATTAACTTTGTAATTGTAGCTTAGAGTGTTAATATGTTTATCTTTAATATACAAGTTAAACATCACTTTTTAAGTTAGGGATAAAGTAAATATGAAATTTGAAGAATAAACCCTTTTTGTAAGTTAAGTTGCTAAACTTTAAGCCCTGTTCCGCAGTAAAGGAATGTACAGATTGTGAACAATTCCACAGTAGCAGAATGCACTCTCAGCAGAACACAGATATTCTGGCTTTTATAGCAAAGTACAAGCAAACACTGAGTAAAAACAATCTCCTTACACTTCTTTGTATAACTCTCAACATAAGCTTTTTTTTTACACTGTGAACTTATTAAAAAATCATAAAACTATAATGATGTACAGTATATATACCTCCTATGGGGTCAAATGAGTGCCTTTTCATTAAACAAAGATATCTCAAGGCACTTAAGGGGTTAAGACACAATGCATGCATTCCTTTACATCAAAAGTGTGAAGTCACATGATTTGGAATAAGCCAACTTTATGATAAATATAAGTTACATTATTAAATCCAAGAAACTCCATAGATTCATAGTTATAATTTCTATAAGATGCTGGTAAATGGACACTGTGCAGCATTTCCTGGGAACAGCAAGTTCCACTTTTCTTCTCAACAGCAGGTCCCTACTGGGATGTCAGGGAAGATGTGCTGCATCCACAGGCAGTGTACTGGCTAATGTTGAGAATGGTATTGCTAACGTTTGAAAAATAAAGTCTGGCAATCAGTAGAGTAAGTACATGAACCACTGGAAAGACCAGAGCAGACTCCTGATGCTTACTTCTTTTTGCTTTCAAGGTACAGGTCTGTAACAGAGACGAGAATTCTGAGCCTTGCTGGGGCAATTCTACCAGAGGGGACTGCATGGCACCGCCTCAAAATTCCACAAATTACCCTGAACATGTTCAGTTTTCACTATTTGTTCAGAGCAAAGCACAAAATAGTCAAAGATGTGAGTTATAGGTTTTGAGTGACTTTTTTAAACATAAAGTGCAATAGTGCTGAAGTTTTCAAAGTTTGTTTGAGTTCTTCACTTTTTTTGTGTGAGATGCCATTTTCTGTAAGCAGTATTATGGCACAGTGAACGTAACAAAAATCAGTTTCCCAATACTTATCCCAACCTTTTTGTTTTCTTATTTATTTGATGATGTTGTTAAGGGTTTAACAAAGCCTTCTTCATATACTTTCAAAATAGCTTCACAGACAAATCTGTATTGACTCTGAAAAACAAATAGAAAAAAAAAAACCAGAATTATTAGAAAACCTAGAAAACCAAAAACTAAAACCTCACTTGTATTGCTTATTAAGGAAGGAAGGAAGGCAGGCAGGCAGGCAGGCGGGCCAAAAAGTACAGAGACACAATTTTTTACCAACTGGTGAGCAAAACCAAACCAAACAAAACTAAACAAACAAAAAAACCAAAAAACACCGCATATTATACTTTATTGACAAAACTCAAGACACTGCTGGTAGGAATGTTAAAACACTGAAAGTATAAACAGAAATTTGAAAGCATCAAATAAGATGGTATTATTTTACCTTGGGATCAAGCACTCTCACTTTCAGAAAATAAAAAAATACTAGAAAAGTGTCTAAAAATAGATATTTACTCTATGAAGATAAAAAAAAATAGAAACCATTTAAGTCGCCATCAATTTGCTGTGTAGAGAAGGCTGACCTTAAATTCACAGAGATCCTTCTGTCCCTGAGTGCTGAGATTAAAGGCATTTGCACTATGCTATGTGTCAGGATACTTTCTTAAGTGAAAACAAGCAAGATAGTTCAGACAAAATGGCTTACACACACACTAATTTTTGGAAGACTGAACCAAGAGTTCCACAAGTTCTAGGCCAGTATGGGATACATAATGAATACCACATTGGCCTATTTAAGAAGGACAAAATAAAAAAAGTAAAAAAACAGCAAAAGGCAAAGAGGGACTGGGGAGATGACTCAGCAGGGAAGAATATGTGAACAAGTATGAGAACTTGAATTCCTATTTTCCACACCCATGAGAAAAGCTGGACATTTATGTGGATGTCAGGGCAGACATAGGAGATCATTATGGTTTGCTGGCTGCCAGCTGAGCTTCAGGGACAGACAGTGAGACCCTTACTCATGAGAATCAAGTAGAGAGTGACAAAGGAGGATACCTAATATCCTCCTCAGACCTCCACACACAGACTTGCATATTCTCTCTCTCTCTCTCTCTCTCTCTCTCTCTCTCTTTCTGTGAGTGTGTGTGTGTGTGTTTGTCACATAAAGAACTATTAAAAGGCAAGGGATAATATTTAGAAAAAGGAGAAGTCAGGTGGATCTCTATGAGTTCAAGGCAAGCCTGGTCTATAAAGCAAGTTTCACGATAGCCAGATTGTTTATACAGAGAAACCCTGTCTTAAAACAAACAAACAAACAAAAACAAAAAAGGAGAAATATAAATATATATTTAAAATGTTACTGTTAGTTTAACTTTTTTTAAAGGAATAACTCAATAAATCCTTAAAATATTTTCATGAAAGAATAGAGGAAAAAGGGAGGAGAGGAACAGAGATCAGACTCCATCAAATAAACCTTTCTTCTTTTTAATGATTTAGTTTTTTCTGTGCATTCTTGTATCTGTGCAGATGAGGGTATTGGACTCCTGGGAACTGGAATTACAGACAACTGAGGTGCCATGTGTGTGCTAGGAATTGAACCTGGGTCCTATGGAAGGGCAGTCAGTGCTCTTAACCACTGAGCCACCTCTCCAGTCCCTACCTTTCTATTTTTGTAGATTTAAAATATAAAACTGATAACATGCCCATAACAAGCTGATGATACAACACACTCATCAGTTATTTGGAGGGATCTGAAAACAGTAATTGACTATGTTTTGTAGTTACATCCAAGTTTAAAGAGAACTGTGGGAAACCAAGAACAATTATAAACCATTCTGTGTATGTGATGGCGGGGCTGTCATTTTGAAACTGTGACATGCAATGTGAGATAAAACAAAACAGTACTTTTTTCCCTCCCGAGACAGGGTTTCTCTGTGAAACAGCCTTGGCTGTCCTAGAGCTCACTTTGTAGACCAGGCTGGCCTCGAATTTACTGAGATCTACCTGCCTCTGTTTCCCAGGTGCTAGAATTAAAGTTTTGTGCCACCACCACCCAGCTCAGAAGAATACTTTCAATATTCTTAGTCTGTCACTGCTGCTGTCCTAGAGAACATGCATTCTTGTTAAACAAGAATGGAGAAAGGGTAAGGAAAGTTAAGTGAAAAACACCATGTGCTGAATACACATTACACAAGTGTATTTTCCTAGCTCTGACAATTTAAAGAAACATATCAACAATAACAATACCCACCCTGAGTACTCAGTATATGAAATAATTTCTCAATAAACAAAACCAAGAATTAATATTGGAAAGATTATTGTTTACAAATCTGGAGCATAAATACAAAACTGGGCTTAGCAATCTTTTTGATAGCAAGGAAGTTACCAAAGTTATTATGGTCCTGAGAAATGAACTTAGGAACCTAGCACAAGGTTCCTATTTATCAAACCACAGGATAATTTTGGGCATCAGTAAGAAAAGTAAACTAGAAGTAGGTTGAAACACATCAAATGTTTACATACACAATTTTTTTCTTTTTAATTTATTTTCCTACAAGACAGGGTCTCACTATATATCTTTGACTGTCCTAGAGATCACCATGTAGACCAGGTTAGCCTTGAACTCACAGAGATCTACCTGCCTCTGCCTCCAGAGTACTGGAATTAAAAGCATGCGCCACTACATCCAGCAGATTCACAATCTTTAAATTGTATCAAAACAAACAAAAGTCAGTTGCTGGCACCGATTAGTAAATGGAAACTGAAAATTTTGGCACTTGTGCAGCATGTGTGAGGCACTGGATTCCATGCCAGCACTGTAAAACACAATAAAAAATAAAATAGCACTTGTAAATCAAGAACAAGAATCATTCTAGGAGCTGGAATGACTTAGTAGTTAAGAGCACCATCTACTTTTCCAGAGGTCCTGGGTGCAATCGCCAGCACCCACACAGTGAGTGGCTCATAGCCAGCCATCTCTAACTTCAGTTCCAGGGAATCTATTTTCCCTTCTGGTCTCCAAGGGTACCAGACATACACATAATACACATACATATATGCAGGTGAAATACTTATACACAGAAAATAAAAATAAATAAATCTTTTTAGAAAACCACTCTAGTTAACTCTAGTTAACCGATGAAATGGTCTAGCCACTTCACTGTCATTCCTAGGCAGGCAGGCCTGGTCTAAATAACGATAGTTGTTGAATATGAATTTGGAAGCAACCCAGTAACACCAAGCAAACAATGTCATTGCTTTAAAATCCAATAAAATAGATAGAGGCATAGATCTTCTAATGATGCTAATATCGCAAGAAGAAAGATAATCAAATACCATGTGCTTCCCGAGGAAAGAATTACCAACCTGAACTGTTTGAGCCTACGGACTGATCTGAGAAAATACAGAGAGTATTACCTTGAGAATATAAACCAAACCAACAAAGACTCTGGGAATGACAGTAGACCAAGAAACTTGGTTTGCTCATTAAATGAAAAAACAAAATAGGACAGGAGGTACAGAAGAAAGTTTTTGATTAAAGGAAATTTAGAATTTAGAAAACATATAGGCTAATTCAAGCATGCAGGCTTGTGGTGGTTTGAAAGAAAACAGACCCCAAATGGAGTGGCACTATTAGGAAGTGTGGGTTGCTGAAGTAGGTGTGGACATGTTGGAGGAAGTATGTCACTGTGGAGGTGAGTTTTAAAGTCCCATATATGTTACATAAGTTCAAGTCATACCCAATAAGATATGCCTTCAGATCAAGATGTAGAATTATCAGCCACTTCTCCAGCACCATGTCTGCATGCACGCTACCATGCCCCCCACCATGATGATAATGGACTAAACCTCTGAAATGCAAGCTGTCACCTAAATGAAATGAGTTTGTTCATAAGTGTTGTTGTCATGTTGTCTCTTCACAGCAATGGAAACCCAAGCTAAGACAAGGCCATTATTTAAACACCAATTTGAAGTAAACTATAAAAACAACCATTGTGATAGTTAAAACCCAACAACTTCACTTCTGGGTAGATCTGAAAGAAAACAAACTGTAGTCTCAAAGAAATATTCTATATACCCTCCATCATGGCAGCTTTATTCATAATAGTCAAAAGCTAGAAATAAGCCACATGTCCACCGATGGAGAAATGATTGAACAAAATGTAGTATATGAAACAAGGGGATATGGTTCAGCCTTGAAAAGAAAGGAGATTCTGACATGGCTACAAAACGAACTATGAAAATATTAACTATCTGCCGGGTGGTGGTGGCTCACGCCTTTAATCCCAGAACTCAGGAGGCAGAGGCAGGCGGATCTCTGTGAGTTCGAGGCCAGTCTGGTCTATAAGAACTAGTTCCAGGACAGGCTCCAAAGCGCCAAAGCGCCAAAGCAAAAAAAAAAAAAAAAAAAAAGAAAGAAAAAGAAAATATTAAGAATCTGAACCAAGACAGTCAGAAATAGAGGAGCACTACAGTATGACTACTTATACAATACATCAAACTCAGAAACATGAAATAGAATGGTGGTTACTGAAAGCTTGGGAGAATGGGTATGAATAAATTTTTATATGAATAATTTTTATTATATACTCAATACTACTGAAATCATACATAAAAAGGCTAAAATGTTAAATTTTGTTATGTGTATTTTATCTCATTTAAAAAGGGGAAAAACAAAACCTTGTGTACCTGACTGTACCCCACCTGAGCCACACCCAACCTCTAGGCCCAGACCAATCCAATGAGCCAGATCCTACCTCATCAGTACCCTTCCCAGTCCCAGATCCTATATCTACTGTCTAGTCTGGTGAGCCCCTACTACCATGTCCCCACTCTCCAGTCTCCTGTATGTCAGCTCAACGCCCTATGTTCATCTGACTTCATTCCATTCTCACCATTTCTAACTTGAGGCCCAATCTGACCTACAGATCCCATGGTCTGGGCCCAGCCTGCTGTGTCCATATATCAGATATTGAATGAATGGAAATTCCATGTGTGCAGGCCTTATCATAAAATTGAAAGCAAAATTAAAACCTAAGATAAAACCTATTAGTTCCTGTCAAAATCTATCAGTTCTATATATTAGTTGTACGATGTATAATGAGAATCACATAAATGAACCCCAGGACACAGAACTTAAAAGAATAATCATAGACCAGGCAGTGGTGGTACATGCTTTTAGTCCCAATACTTGGGAGGAAGAAGCAGGTGGATCTCTGAGGTTGAGTCCAGCCTAGTCTACGGTGGGAGTTCCAGAAGAGCTGGGGCTACACAGAGAAACCCCATCTCAAAAAACAAAAAAACCAAAAATGAACAATCATAAACTTCATGAAAAAAAATTCAAGTTTATAGATGATACAATGAAATAGCTCAGTGAACTTGGAAAGAAAACTTAAAGAGAATAAATTCCCGAGTGCTGCCCCCCAAAAAATACAAATAAGGATGAATGAACTGAAGAGAATATAGGGTTGAAAACTAAGGTTCAATAAAGGGAAATATTAAAGAAAACTCAAACTGGAATGGAGACAGAATCGGAAAACTTAGTAACCCAATTAAAAAAGTCAGAAGATCTTACAAATAGACTGGATGGAAAGCATAAAGAAAAAGCACAAAGAACTTCAAGGAAAAAAAAATACAAGCTACATATAAAGAAAAAAATCCATCAGAATAATAGCTGATTTTTCAGTGGAAACTTTGAAAGTCAGAAGAACCTACAGTGGTATATTAATTGTGTTTTAATAAATAAGTCTTGTCTGACAATAAGATGTCAAGGCAGACACACTAGTTAGCCATACAGGCCAGACAGTGGTGGTACAAACCTTTAATCAGGAGGCAGAGGTAGGCAGATCTCTGTGAGTTCAAGGTTATCCTGGGTTACACAAGACTGATCCAGGTAGTGGTGGTTCACACCTTTAATCCCAGCACTAGGGAGGTGGAGACAGGAGCAATAAGGCTGGCTGGAGAGAGAAATATAAAGGGGAAGAGACAGGAACTCAGTGGAGTGTGGAGTCTGAAGATTTGTGGAGATAGGATCTTGCCCTTTCAGTCTGCAGATTTGGTAGAGGTAAAAGGTCTCTCTAGTGATTGGCTGCTTTGCTTTTCTGATCTTCAGCTTGAACCCCAATTTCTGTCTCTGGATTTTTATTATTCATGCTACAAGAAGCTACAAGAATAAACTCAAGTTCTAAAAGACCATGAATGCCAGTTCAGACTAAAGTGCCCAGTAAAACTGTCAGATATAGTTGAAAGAGAAACAAAAACTTTCTATGATACAAATATTAAAAAAAAAATTGTGTCCAACAAACTAGCCTGTAGAGAATACTGGAAACAATATTTAGTCCTGAAGAAAGGAATAAGTATAGCTTATGATGCTATAATTATTGGCATAACTAATAATACAAACAACTAAATCAATAAATAAAATACAATGACTACAATCAATACACACCTTTCAATAACAGCTTTATGGCCTCAATTCTCCAATCAAGACACAAAAATCTATCCCTTACTGTATACAAAAAACTCACTCTTGCTTTAAAGACAACCATCTTAAAGTAAAAGGCTAAAAAAAAGTATTCCAATTAAATGGAACCAGGAAGCAAGCAGGCATTGCTATCTTAATATATGACAAGGCAGAAATTAAAAAGATGAACATGGAAGCGTTCCACTGCATTTTTATTTATAGTACCAAGTGATGGTGACTATTAAAATATGGAATAATAATTTCTGAGTAAGAATTAAAAATATGGAAGTATAATTTAGAGGTAGGCATTAAGGCACATACTTGTCAGGAGGCTGAGAAGTTGGAGCCCAGCCTGGGGTACATAGTGAGTTCTAGGTTGGCCTGAGTTACATAGTAGGACTCTGTCATAAATATGTGTGTTTGTCTGTGTGTAAGAAGAAAAGATATAGAATGAAGATTGGTAAGTATCTCAAGCATGTGTAGGAGATACATGTACACATGAAATATAGTGCTTACAGGTGTCTGGATCATCATGGCTCTTTGATCTCTCATTGTTCTTACAATATCTAGCGGATAAATTGGCTGATTACATTCAATGAGACACATGGCAGTTTCCATAGTAATAAGAACCCCAGTCCTTCCAATTCCAGCACTAAAAAAAGAGAGAGAGATGTACAAAGTTTTAGTGGTACAATTGTTAAACTTGTGGGTTTTCTGCAGAAATATCAAAGTACCAAATCACAATTAAGAAAAACAATTTCATTTTAAGGTTTTACTTCATGGAAGAAAGTCAACTGTTAAATATTTTAAAACCATTTTAAAATGCAAAGTAAATCTAAAATAATACATAACAATTACATAAGTGACAATTATGTTTTATATCACATGTAAGTCAATGTTTTAAACAAAGTTAATTTATATCAAACTTACCGAGAGATTAAAAAAACCCTCCTGGAAACATAATCTATAAGCATAACTATAGTAGCTATTGAAGATTTCTTTACTATAAAGAAGCCTCAAATACCTCACCATTTTTGACACTGAATCTTATTTGTTTTTTAAAAAATATTTTATTTTTATGAATGTAAATGTTTTGCCTGTATGTAAGTAAGTGCACCATGTGCATGTGCCTGTTGCCTGCAAGTCAGAGGAAGGTGGTTGTCAGTTACCATGTGAGTGCTAGTTACTGAATCCTAGTCTTCTGTGGAAACAACAAGTACTTTTAACCACTGAGCCATCATCTCTCCAACACTGATACTGGCTTCTTAAATTTTTTTATTAGGTAGAATAAAAAATGATGGATTTCACGACATTTTTCAAGTATGACATGATACTTTGCTCATACTTAACCTCCTCCCACTACCCCCTTTTTCCCGCCACAAAGATCTCCCTCTACCATTAGTCTTTTTTTTGCTTTCAGGTCATATGTACATATTTAAGTACATGTGTATATTTAAATCTAGATACTCTATGATAAAAAATAGAACATTCTATCTTTCCCATTAACTCTCTTACTTCCCTTTTTTTCTTTCAATCTTGTAGCTTCTTCTTACTTTCCTGTCATGTTTTTTCAGTAAGTATCAGCAAAAATACTCAAAATTTGTCTTTCTGAATCTGGCTTACTTTAGTACAATGATCTGTAGTTCCATCAACTTTGTTATAAATGACATTTTCATTCTTCTTTACATCGAATTCATTGTACATATGCACCACATTTCCTCATTCATTCACCTGTTGTTTGGCATCTAGGCTGGTTCTATACCTTGGCTATTGTCATTAGTGTAGCAATAAGCACAAACATTTAAGCATCTCTTTGATGTATGTAGACCTGGCATCAGTGCTTCAAGTATATACTGAACAGTGATATATATGATAGTTCAATATTCGGAGAACCTACATACTGATTTCAATGGAGGCTGGAGCAATTTATACTCTCAGTAGCAGTGAATAAGGGTTCATCTTTCTCCCCATCCTGACTACCATTTATTTTCTTGATGATGGCCATTCTGAGTGGAATGAGATGGAGTGTCAAACTAGTTTTAATTTTCATCTCTCCGGTAACTAAAGGATGCCAAACGTTTTTTCACACATTCATTGGTTATTTGTATTTATTTATTTATCTATGTATGTATGTATTTATTGTGTATACTGTATTCATCCTCCTTGTATGACTGCAGGCCAGAAGAGGGCACCAGATCTCATTATAGATGGTTATGAGCCACCATGTGGTTGCTGGGAATTGAACTCAGGACCTCTAGAAGATCAGTCAGTGCTCTTAACCTCTGAGCCAGTTCTCCAGCCCCATTTGTATTTCTTCTTTTGAGAACTATTAGATTACTGAGTGACTAACAGTGTCTCTTCACACAACTAGTTATTTCCTTTGTCATGCAGAAGCTTTAACTTTGACTCAGTTCCATTTGTTGATTCTTACCATTATATCCAGGGCTACTATTCTCTTTCAGAAAGTTTCTGCTTGTGCCAAGAGTGTTTGGCCCATGTTTTACTCCATGTTTCAGATTTTCAAGTCTTTTTTCTTTTTAAGTATTTATTTATTTATTATGTATACAATAATCTGTCTGTGTGTATGCCTGAAGACCAGAAGAAGGCACCAGACCTCATTACAGATGGTTGTGAGCCACCATGTGGTTGGTGGGAATTGAACTCAGGACCTTTGGAAGAGCAAGCAATGCTCTTAACCTCTGAGCCATCTCTCCAGCCCCCCATATTTTCAAGTCTTATATTAAGGTTTCTGATCCATTTTAAATTGATATTTATGCAGTGTGAGAAATATGAGTCTAGTTTCATTCTTTCAAAAGTGGCTATCCAGTTTGTCCAGCGCCATATATTGAGTAGGTTGTCTTTTCTCCAATATATGTGTGGTTGGTCACCTTTTATCAACACAACATGAACTAGAGTCTCCTAAGAAGAAACTAATTGGGGAACTCCCTCAACCGAGTGGCCTGTGGGGATGTGTTGGTGGGTGCACTTTCTTAATTGCTGATTGATATAGGAGGGTCCAGACTACTGTGGGCAGTGCCCTTGGCAGGTGCACCTAGGCTATATAAGAAAAGTAGGAAAGCAAGTCAACAGACCTAAGGGAGTAACCTCTGTGGTCACTCTTGAGTCTCTGCAACTAGGTTCCTGCTTGAGTCTTGTCCTGACTTCCCTCCATGATTAAAAATAAGCTACTAAGATAAAGTAAATCCTTTCCTTCTCAAGTCGCTTTGGGTCAGTGTTTTGAACATACCAAGAGAAAAATCAAACTAGAGCAAAAGCTAGTACTAAGAGTTAGACCTTGCTGTGGTGGACCTGACTATGTGGCTTTTATGCCTTGGTGCAGGAGAACTGTCTGGATTCTGTCAATCATATTTTAAATAAATGCTGATTGGCCAGGCAGGAAGTATAGGCAGGTCAACCAGACAGGAAGTAGAGGCGGGGCTTGAGAACAGGAGTATTCTGGGAAGAAAGAAGCTCTTCCCGCAGCCCAGCCCAGATCACCAAAGAAGCAACATGTGACAAGCCCCACTGAAAAAGGTTCAGAGCCACATGGCTAATATAGGTAAGAATAATGGGTTAATATAAGCTACAAGAGATAATAAGAAGATTGCGCTAATGGGCCAATCAGTTTTATAACTTACGGAGATCTCTGTGTGGTTTTCTCTGGGACTGTGGGGTACCAGGCAGGACAGAAACCTCAACAAGCTGGCCCTCCATGTTACAATGCCTTATGGGAGAAAGGTGGGGAATTTGGAGCTTTGAGCTGAAAAAGTCATTGAATATTTGGAGCTTAATGAGTTTCTAGAAAATAATGTTGAAATCAACAAAGATGATGGAGGCCTGACTTGTGAAGTTTCAGAGGGAAGTTGGAGTCCCTTAAAATAGTCTACAAAGGTTGTTCATATGGTGTTTTGAATTAAGAATAGGCTGTTTCTTGTCTGCTAGAGCTGAAGAATAATTTTTTATTAACAAGAGACCTATGCTACCAAAGAAAAAGTATGTTTTAAACACTTGTAAAATGGTAGAAGTAACTGTATACATTTACTTCTGGGCCCATTATTCTAGTTCATTGTTCTCCATGTCTACTTTATGCCAGTAGTTTTCTCACTATAGCTATGTAGTATAGTTTGAGATCAGGTACTGTGATAATCGGTGCTTATGATGGGGAGGACACTATTTGGGGTTTTGTGCTTTCATGTGAGTTTTAGGATTATCTGTTCCAGTTCTGTAGAGAATGTCACTAGAATTTTGACAAGGCTTATGTTTGGTCTGTAAGTTACTTTTAGTAACACAGACATTTTTACAGTTATTGTGGAAATCCAGAGTATGGGTGATCTGTTCGATTTTCAGTGTATTCAATTACTTTCTTCAATATTTAAAACTTTTTATTGTAGAGGTCTTTAATGTCCTTCATTATGTTTATTCTTAGGTATTTTATTCATTGAAGCTATTGTAAACTGAATTCTTTGTTGACAAATTTGTTACTTGTATATATGAAAGATGCCTATTTTTGTATGTTTTTTTTTCTTTTTTTAAAACCTGTTACTTTGCTAAAAGTGTTTTTCAAAGCTAAGTTTTCTCATGGAATCTTTAAGATTTCAAATTCGGACCATATGACTTGAAATTGGAGCTAATTTAACTTTTTCCTTTATGACTTATATCATTTCATTCTCTTACCTTATTATTCTAGTTAAGATTGAATATTATACTGAATAAAGTATAGAACACTATATTGAATATGCAAATTGTATTGTTCCTGACAATAGAAGAAATGTGTTCAGTTTTTCTGATTTAGAATAAAGCTGGCTACAGGTTTGTTGACATTAGTCTTTATTATGTTGGAGGCACAGTTCTTCTGTTTTTTCTTTTCATTCCCACCTCCTTCCTTCCTATAATTTTACTGGTTGTTGTTGTTGGTTAGACTAATAGTTTGTTCTTTTCACTTTTACTATCTGCATTAGCAATTGCACTGTCTTACTATGTGTATCCTTTGTTCATTTAGTTCTCTCATGAAATTTAATCTCTCCTGTGCTCTCTTGATTAAATCTATCTTTTCTACTCTTCTGTTTAAGGATCCCTTTAAATATTTTTGCAATGCAGACTTGGTGATCAGGAACTGTTTTAGTGTTGAAATGTCCTTACTTCTGTTCGCATTAGGAGGTAGCTTTGTTGGATACAGCAGTTTTATTGGTTATTCACGGTCAGGGCTTGAAATATACTATTCCATGCTTTTCTGGCATTTGCAATTTCTGTTGCAAATTCTGATGTGCTTGTCCCCTCGCCAAACAATTTACTATCTCAACCTTGCTTATCAGAATTATTTATTTATTTTGAGGTAGATATACACATATGTATTTATGTAAGCACATCACATGCATTCCTGGCCCAAGAAGTCAGAAGAAGGTATCAAATTCTTTGGAACTAGGTTTATAGATAATTATGAGCCATTCTGTGGGTGCTGGGAATCAAACCCAGGCCTTTTACAATAGCAGCCAGTGTTCTTAACTGCCGAACCACCTCTCAAGTCCCTATGCCAATGGCTTTATAACTGAATTGTTGTTTTTTTACCTACAGTTTTTTTTTGTTTTGGTTCAGAAGGGGGCTCACTTAAACTCACAAAGATCCTTCTGCCTTTGTATCAAGATATGTTCCACTATGCCTGGCTCTCTTACAGCTTTTAATACTGATTTTTGTTTTATATTTTTGGCATTTTGAGTACATTGTATCATGGAGAGGTTTTTCCCTGGTCATGTAATTTTGGGTTCGAAATAATTCTTGGGCTTAGCTGTTTATTTCTTCCCTAGATTTGGAAAACTGCTCTAATTTCATTGACTGGATTTTCTAGATCACTAGCTTTCATGTTGACTCCTTCTATCCCAGATTCTGAGGTTCTGTCTTTTGATTATGGCCTACAGGTTTTGAAAGCTCTGGTTGTGCCTCTGTTTGTTTGCTTTCAAGCCATCAAGTGTGGATAGCACTCTTCAGACTGGTCCACAATCCTGATGTTCTTTTATTGTTGCTGTTTGCTCTAGTCTATTGGTGCTGCTTTTTACAATCTAAATTTTATTAAAAAAATTTGCTCTACTGAGTTTTTCATTTTCAACATTTCTATTTGTTTTTATTAACCCCAATTTCTTTGATTAATTCCTCATTCATGTGCAAATTAACTTTTTCATTTATTTTGCTTACTTTCTCCCCTATGCTGCCAATTTTCTTTTCAAGTCCCGATGTTAGTTCATTCATCTATTTGTTTGTATCTTCCTTGAAGTTATTGATAATTTTTACAGGAAAATGTTTGAATTCACCCAACATTTTATCTGTCTTAGTATCTTTGAATTTAGTAACCGAGGATTATTTCTGTGTCCTAATTTGTGCTTCTGGTGGATTTCCACACAGGTTTTCTTTGGGGATCTGCTTAGTGAGCAGCCTACACTTGCAGGCTAAATCCTCCTGCAATACCACTAAGGGAGATGAAAACAAATTGGCTCATCAACAGTAACACCACACTGAATGTGACATGCAGTTAAAACTGGCCAAAGCCCAGCCGGCAGTAGTAGATCACACCTTTATTTCAGCACTTAGGAGGCAGAGGCAGGCAGATTTCAGAGTTCAAGGCCAATTTGGTCTACACAGCAAGTTCCAAGACAGCAAGAGGTATGCAGAGAAACCTTGTCTTGAAAAACAAAAAACAAAAACAAATAAACAAATAGATCAAAGCCCATAATATACCATCAATGACCAAAGAAGAGAAAATGGCAAAAGTAATGGAAAGTAAACTGTGAAGTTGAAAATCGTTTAGAGAAAATGTGGAAATTGTAATGAATAAAGTAAAGGAAGAAGTCAGTAAAGGAGAGAAAACAGATGCAAAAAAACAATGTTAAATAAAAGGAAAAAGAAGAGTAAAGACAAGTTATAAAATGGAAGAGAAAAAACAGGGGAATAAAACAAGAAAAGGAAAGCTTGCTGAATAATGAAAAACACAGATGAACATAAAAAGGGAATTAAAAAGATAAAAACATAAAAGTTTCATTATTTTAAGATAGGGATGGCAGTACATACATGTAACCCTAGACTTGGGAAGGTGGAGGACCAAGGATCAGGAGTTCAAGGTTATTCAAATTACAAAAGAAGGTATAAGACCAGTATAGGTTATATTAGACCTCATTTCAAAAACGTTAAAGCAATAAAAAAAAAAATCAAGATAAAGTTAAAACACCACCAAAAGTAGAGCAAAAAAATCTACAGGAAATACAAGGGAAAAAAAACAAAACAAAACAAAACGAAACAAAAACCCACCACCACCAAAAACAAGAAACAAACAAACAAAGGAACAATTTGGATCTGATTCAGCTTTCCATACTGGCCAAACTTCAGAGGCCCACAGGGCTATCTTCACTTTATTAGCTCCCCATGTCTGTGTTCTAGTGGCCTCTGCTGGCCACACTTAGTTTTGCACTCTAAAACTGAAAACTACATTTCTGCTGTTATTAATTACACCATTCTGAATATCTTGTTATATCAACACAAACACATGAAGATAAAGGTAGTATTACATCAGATCTAAGTTAGCAGTTGTAAGACACAGTCTAATTTCAGAGATATTAAAATAGGAAAAGAACTAGAAAAATAGCTATTTTTTCCCTTTCCATAGTTTATGACATTGTTATATTAGAATATTTCCTTTGTCGTCCACCCTTAGAGCACAGCTCTCACTCTAAACATCACAGTATTAATCACAATAAAAGACCAAAATACAATATGTATTCCCCCTAGCAGGCAATTATTCATTTATTAAGGGCAGGAAATAAAATACCTGCAATGAACAACAATTGGCTCTTCTTTTCCAGCCCTCTTGTTTCGTACATGACAAACAAAATCCAGAAAGTCACTTGAATCATCAGGTACTCCATGGTCAGGCCAGGCTGTGTACTGAATCTGAGTGAGTTGACGACTCTCATTTTTCTAAATGAAAATGAAAAGTTACACATTTTGACATAGGAATTACCTGTGAAGTATAAACATTCGTATCATTTTACTTTTAGAAGGAGAACATAAACACCTTCCCTCTTCTTCTTGTCATACTGTAAAAATGCAATAAAATCCAGTATTTCAACAGAAGGAAAGGATTTCACAGAAATAGTTGCATCCTTTTAAGGACTACTTATACTTTTTTGGATTTTCTATGGGAATGTATGAAGAGTCTTTCCTTTAGAACAGGGTCTCTCTCTGAACCCAGGCATTGCTCATAGTTATGGTGGACCCAGAAAGCCCCAGGGATCATTCTGTCTCTGATTTTCAGAGTTGGGTTTATAGGACTTGCAGTTGTTCCTGGCTTGTTATATCAGTGCTAGAATCTGAACTCTGGTGCTGAATACTGTAGCAAGTGTTCTTAACTGCTGAACCATCTTTCTAATCAACAGTCGAGAAATTTTTATTTCACGCTAACTCATATTAAAAACAATTTTAGCTTTCAAAGTCTTTACAGACACTCTTGATGCCTTACCTCTTGGTTGAATAGTGTCATCTTCCTGAAGATATAGGCAGGGTTTCCTTCTTCAGAGTGGCAGGTGACTTGATAGCATCCATAGGATGAGCTTCCTGTGGGTTCTGGCCAATACTGGTGACATTTAACCTGATTACCAACAGGATCAATTACACAAAATTAGATACTCTGGTGTAGAAATTTAAATTCTCTGACTTTCAAGTACTGTAACTTTAAAGAACTTTCAATTTTGCAGAAAATAATTCATTTCTCATATACCCTTCACTTAGATCTTCCAATTACTTATATTTTTATGTGTGCATGTATATATTGTATGAGTATGTGTATGCACATACATGAGTGTGCATGTACACATATGTACGTGTCAATATTGGGTGTCTCCCATATTTTTCTTGAGATAGGGTCTGTCACTGTACTTGGAGCTCATCCAATTTGGCTAGGCTAGCTAGTTGAACAATGAGCTCAGGGATCTGCCTGACTCTGCCCTAGCCCTCCAGTTTTAGGGTCATACATACATGCTACCATATCTCTTACATGGGTGCTGGGGACCTGAGTTCAGGTTCTCATGCTTTCATGGCAGGCACTTTACAGACTTAGCTATCTCGCCCAGTCATTATACACATTACAACCCTTTTTAATAGTAAGCAATCTGTTTGCCTATATCCTAATTAGAGTTTTACCACTGGTGTGTATGTACATGTGTGATATGTACTATTTAATCTTAGCCCTATTATCATATAGCTGACTCATTTAAAGTGCAGTTGCTGCTAGTATATCTCATAGAACTGTACAACCACCACCCTAAATACTCTCAGAACATTTTCACCATACCCTAAAACCCTATATTCATTAGTATTTGCTGTGCATTCTATTCCATTCCATTCTCTTTCTCAACTTAGGTATCTACTAATCTATTTTCTATACTTATGGAATAGCCAATCCTGAATGTTTCATAAAAGTAGAATCATACAATAATTTTTGTTGTAAGAGCATTTCACTTAGTACAATGTTCTCCAGGCTCACTCAAATTCTAGTACTTCAGTTATTATTATTATCAAATATTCTTCAGTAATTTAAACATATTACATTTTATTTGGTATATGTGAATTTCCATTTCATGGTTAATTCAGTGAAGGCATGGACATAGCTTCAATTCTTTGAGTATATATAGTACTGAAACTGACGACCTAGAGAAATACTATGTTTAACTTTTTGAGAACGGCCACACTTTTCCAGTGCAGTGCTGCACTTTCTCCACTCTGTCATCAACACTTTGCCTACCTTTTATTCTAGTCAGTCTCCTGTATATAAAGTAGTGTCTCACTGTGATTTTGATTTACATTTACTTTTGGATATCCAATATCTTCTTATGTGCTTAATAGACGCTGGTGTATCATCATAGGTAATTGTCTATTTAGACCATTTGCCAAATTTTTAAATGATCTTGCTATTTACTATTTAGCTTTTAAGAAATCTTTACATATTCCATACACAGGCCTCTTACATATACACAATTTTAAACAAAGATAAGAATGATAGATAACATTTTTTAACAAAAGCATGGGTTGAAGTATTTAGCTATAATAATTCAAATCATGAAACCACAAGACAAGATTATAGGCTACAAAAAGAATATTCTGAGTACATAAACACAATGTAATTTGAAAAGAGCCCAAGTAATGGGTAAGATTCAACTACAGCTTACTCTGCCACGTTCAACTTGTGTGGTCAACATTACAACCATGGAGGAGCCTTGTTCCCAAGTCATTTGCCAAAAATCTTTGCAAGTGTGTGGTAATGGCCCTTGACAAGCAATGTACTGATTTATAATACTTGAAGAAGGAATTTCCATCTAAAAAAAAAAAAAAAGACATTACATTTTTTGCATTTTGACTTTTTACTATGATTGGGAAGATGAAAATCATCCATTAGTATTAAACTAAATACAACTAATCTCAATAAACTAATTAGTATAATAATCTTCATTAATAATTTCATCTGTAAAGGAAATTTCCTGGCAAATTTCCAAAGTCATACATATTCATCATTTGATTGTGGAGAGAGGAACTTAAAAACAAATATTTTTCAAAACACTATATTTTTTTTCTTTTTCTTTATTTCTTGGAGACAAGGTATCACTATGTAGCCCAGCCACCCAAACATTATGGGATATATGACCATATCTGGTACGACTATGACTTAAAGGACAGCTTTACAGAGAAACTTGTTTTAGAGGCAGAGAATCTGCTAGAAAAATTTTAAAAAGTATCTATAAATAGTTTATTAGTAAATTTCCTAAGGAAAAAACTTTTCATTTTAGCTGAAATATCTCGTAAAAGAATGTGAAGAGCTATTAGGATGATGTTTAAACTTGTATATAGAATGAAATAAGAAAAATATTGGAGAATCACAATTAGACTACATTTGAGGTTGATTTTAACAAGGTGATATCTCCCCATAGCAATGCAAAGAATATCAAATGGTGTATACTTGAAATCTCCCTCTCAAACCAGATTCCAGCTATCTAGTTTCTAGTACCTCCTTCACATACACAGTCTGTCCACAACTATTTTCCCATTTTTCTGTAAAACTATTTTTAAAATGATAATACACTATATATGATCCTATTGTTTGAAAGATAGTGTCAAAATTAATACCCAAATTTCTTTCTTTTTAATATCCCTTTAGAAAAAAACTGCAACTTACTTAAAAGACACTTATGGCACTGTTAATATGTTTGTTAGCAGTAGCAAGGATAAACTGAATACTTCTATAAACTTGACATTTTTAGCAAAGATAAAAATAATGGCAACAGGAAGAAATGAGAATGTTGGATCAAATGCATACTTTAAATTCTGAAAATACCATACTTCCTCCAGAGAAGTTTTATCAACCTACACTTCTACCAACAACACATAGGATTGTAATTTCAATGATATTTTGCTAGTATATCTATAATCCCTTATCTATAGTTCTGAAATTACCAATAATAGGAAATGCAAAACTGCTTCTGGTGTTTTAAGACTTGTCCTTGACTTGAAGACATTTTAAACTTGACTTAATTTAAAAGCATTTGACAGCAAAATTTGACTTTGATTTACCTAAAGGTATTTATACTTTATTAGTCTGATTCAGAATATTTATATACTATCAATAAAACAATTAATGGGACCTTATCCCATAACCTTATCCCATAACTTCCTACAGCATTGGTATATAGACTAAATATACTTTAAAAAAACAAAATCTAAAAATTTTGAATCCCAAAATATATTTGAAGTTATGTATTGATTAGCTGATAAAAATATGACTATACACTTATAAATAGCTAATTCTTTATTTACCCTAGAAATGATGACTCACTATTCCCTAGTTCGTCATTTTTTAAAAATATTTATTTATTTATTTTGTATACAATATTCTTTCTGTGTGTATGCCTGCAGGCCAGAAGAGGGCACCAGACCCCATTCAGATGGTTGTGAGCCACCATGTGGTTGCTGGGAATTGAACTCAGGACCTTTGGAAGAGCAGGCAATGCTCTTAACCTCTGAGCCATCTCTCCAGCCCCCTCCCTAGTTCGTCATTTGTACAAACTTTGTAGAAAGGATCTATGACTCCCTCAAATAGGGAGAATTAACTGTACATACATATAAAGTGATATATTTTGACTTAAAAATAATCTACGGGATATCACTTAAACAATATGGCCACTTGTTGGCAGACTTTAAAGCTAGATAAGAGGTACATGAGGGACGCTTCATACTATTGTCTCTTTTACAGACATTTGAAAATAGCCATGTAGTTTACAATGTTCAATGTTGTTTACATTTCATTTCCTGCCTTACATCCATTTTGTTTCAACTGAGACAGAGTGTCCTCCTTTGTAGTCCCAGTAGTCATGAACTTGGCAGTCTTCTACCCTAGACTCTCAAGTGCTGGTTTAAGTGTGTGCTAATAGTCCCAGCCTACATGTAAGACTTTATAGCATTTTAAAAATTCAGACTGTCATTTAATCTTAATACCCTTAAGTGTACCAAAATAAAGATTTTCCATTATTATCCTTATTTTAAAGTTTTGAGTGAAGTTACACATTGATTAGCTGATAAAATGTGACAAAATGTGATTCTTTGGTTGTCCTTTTAACATGAGGTCTTGCTGTGTTGCCTAGGCTAATTTTGAAATCTTGAACTCAAGGGATTCTTAGTCTCCCAAACACAGAGATTACATTCACCAGTGATCTATTTGTTTGTAGCTTAGGCAGCCATCCATCCAGCTTAACAAAATTCTTCTTCTATCTGAAATACTTAATAATTCTCACATATTTCTTTCATGATTCCATTTTTCAAATTTATACACTGATGTATTTTTCACAGATGTCAGCATCAAAGTTGAATAGATGAAGCACTTGTAGATGATAAAGTGGTATACAATTATCCTCTGTAACAATTTGGATGTGGGAACACAGGGAAATAACATTGTCCATGAGTCCACAATGGCCAAAGCTAAGTGATGTATATGTGAAGGCTGATTTTACAGTTAAAAAAAAAAATTACATTTTTATTTGTTTGAAAAGCAGACAGACAGACACGGATGGAGACAGAGAGAGAGAAAGAGAAAGAGAGCCCATGTGTGTGCCTGTGGAGGTTAGAAGAGGGCTCCAGATTTCTTGGTGCTAGAGTTACAAGTGGTTGTGAGTGGCCCAGTGTGGGTGGGTGCTAGGAACTGGACGCTAATCCTCTGTAGAAGTAGCCAATACTCTTAACTGCTCACTAATCTTAACTAATCTCTCCAGTCCCTTTGTTTCACATTTTGCTCTAATCCTATATATTTAAAAATTTCTATATTATAAAATTAAGGAGAAAGTAATCTTTTCCTTCATTAGTTGTGGGAAAATAATCTTCCTCACAATGATACATTTTGAACACATGACACAAATAATAAACATAAATAGGTTATGCTTATCTCTAGTGATTTAAAAGGCTGCCACTACCATAACCTAAGCTTACTTTAGTATTCTAGTAATAATAACTTAGGCTATTTCTGGAGTGAATTACTCTATTGTACCCTTCTAATTACATATTAATATACTAGTACCAAATTATTAAAGCTTTTGGAGGGGGGTGGACAAGGACCCACCATGAAGCCCTGGCGGGCTCTGAACGCATAGAGATTCTCTAGTCCTGCCTCCTGAATGCTGGGATTATGGGTTTGTGCCACCAAAACTGGCTTAAATTTTTTTTTTTTGTCTTTGTATTTTGAGACAGGGTTTCTCTGTAGCTTTGGAGCCTGTCCTGGAACTAGCCTGGACCAGGCTGGCCTCAAACTCACAAAGATCCACCTGCCTCTGTCTCCTGAGTGCTGGGATTACTCCACCACTTTTTTTTTTTTCTCCCCCGAGACAGGGTTTCTCTGTAGCTTTGTAAACCAGGCTCTCCTCGAACTCTTGGAGATCTGCCTGCCTCTGCCTCCCAAGGTATGTGCCACCACTGCCTGGCCTGGCTTAATTTTTTTTCTTCTTTTTTTTTGGCTTTTCAAGTCATGGTCTCTCTATGTAGCAATGGTTGTCTGGGAACTCACTCTGTAGACCAGGCTGACATTGAACTCATAGAGATCTACCTATTTCTGTCTCCTGAGTGGCGGAATTAAAAGCATGTGCCACCACCAACAGTCACTTGGTTATTCTTTAAAACATAAATTTGATAAAATAATATTCTATTAAAGTTAGACCTTCAATAAAAAGGAATTAACCTTAAAATTTTCAATAATTTCAATTATTTCAAATAACAAAAGAATAACAAAAAACTTACATTTATATAGTTTGCATTGATGTAGTCTTCATTACCTTTTAAAAGGACCCGTGTAGCATCATCTAAAAAATTTTAAAAGAAACAATGGATTTCTTTTTTGTTTTGATATTTCAGATTAAATCACCAAAGCCTGGCACATGCTAAGCACAATGCTCTACCACTGATCCATACTCTGTTCACAAAAATCTCTAATAAAGTTTTATTTAAAAGATTAAGCTTATGGTGGGAAGATTTAATAGATACTTACAAGGCGAAATATCTCTGTATCTATTTTTGGAAATGTTCTGAGGTAATTTGGCACAAGACATTGTCATTCCAGGTTTTTTCCGATACAATTGCTTTAAAAACAAACAAGCAAATAGCCCAATAAATCACAAATGATTCTGCTTTGTTTTGCAGACTAGTATCTACTCTAACAGGAAACATCAACCCCATACCCCCTCCC